TATTTCCGACCAAGGCCACCTAAATATGAGACAGATATAAAACATAATATAATTTTTAGTTGATCTTTCTGCAGATATGTTTTAATAGATTTGATAATACACGCCTCTTTAACCTAGCAATTATGATATATCCAAAAGATGAAAGAAGCATCATAACTTAGTCGGGTATTATGTATATATATGAATATTTATCTGGTTAAAAAATTAAAACATTTTAGTTAATATGATTAACAAATTTTTTTGCGTTTGGTTGTGGAAAATAGTGAACTTAAATGCAAAAATGAATTATTGGCGAATACCAACTACAAAATAAAATTCATAATAATTTCCCAAGTCGGATCGTGGACGAGGTACCTTCCCAGACCTTTCGCCGGCATCGTCAATTAGTCTTGCCAGTCTTAGCACCACACTACAACTCGTAAAAGCGAAAAGTGAAGCCGATCCTTTGACCAAATGTGTGCTAAACAGTTGTGGTATCTCTCCTTCTGTCCTGGGCTATTCATCTTTCCTATGTCCTTGTATCACGCCTTCACTATCACAATTTTTCCTTGCCTAATTAAATGTAGTGTGGTGTGCACTTTGAGCGGCTTTCATGAGAGCTTGAATAGAAGGAGATTGCCTCGGAAATTTTTCAGTAAAGCCAATCGACAGCTGGTAAAGAGGAATCCGCCGTCGTCTTCTGGTGGAACCGACCTTCGAATCTCTCCACCCAACACTTTCACTCGAAATGGAAGTAAGCTCAACAGTTAAGGTAGACTTAGAGGAGGGAAGTAGAGTTTGAAAGAAAGTGGTAAACCTATCCAAAACAACATTGGAAATTAACACAGAAGAAATTCTTTTTAAAGGTTTGAACGATGCGATGCCAAACAGTAAGGATAACAAGCAATAAATATTGGTATAACTCATACGTTTTAGAGATCGTTTAGTGAAGAGACGAGGAGTGATATCGAGTTGCAGATTGTCTCTTCAATTGATAATCATGTAGAGGTATCACCAGTGGATAGTAGAGTAAACAGATTATTAAAAATCTAAGAGACAACGAACAAATAATATTAATAGAAAATAAGGGAGGCACATTTATGGTCATGGATAAGGTTAGCTATGTAGAAAAGGTGATGATGGCACTAGATAATACCTTAACGTATAGGATTATGAGTAAGGAGCCTACATAAGCCCTGACATATAGACTAAGGTGTTGGTTGCAAGAGTGTAACAAACGCAGAATCACAGAAGTGGAAACTGAACACACTTATTCAACGAGATGCCAGGCCCAGAATGCATGTAGTCTGCCTAAGATACATAGGAAAGGAATCCCACTCTGAATTATTGCAAATAATAAAGGTAGCGTGATGCAGAAAATATCACGATTATATACGCCAGCAAATAAAGCATATCACCAAGTCATGGCAGTATGAATAAGAAACTTTAATGCATTTGTTCAGTTGTTCGATGAGCAGAGGATATGTGGGGAATCTAATGATAGTTTTAGTCTAATCAAAACTAGACAATAAAACTAAACCAACAACATCCCTGCAAGCGAAGCAACAATGCCTCTAGAAATAACTTTGGACAATGATTTAGATATTCTGAGAAGTACACATTAAGGTAAAGAGTCAATAATGAGGCTGACGAATGTAGTGAATGTAGTAGTTGTACATATGTTACCTTTAAAAGTAAACTGAACTATCAAACCCGAGGCTTAGATCTGGGATCAAGTCTATCCCAAATTTTAGCAAATAACTACATGGTTCAATTAGAAAGTCGACTAATATAATATAAGACAACCACAAATGAAGGGTTCCCTTTAAATTTCTTTTCAACTCAACTTATGGAATTGAAGTATGACATATGAAATACATGATAGTAAGGAGTGAGCCTTGCAGATATTAACCATCAGGAGCAGGAAGTAAAGAGATTAAGTAAAATTTTCGTCAAGTACGTCAAATGTTAGCCAACTAGCTCTAGTCTTGGCCACATTTATCCTGCTTCTAACCATGTAGACGTCATATGCCCTAGTCTCTTGGGTGCCAACCCACAAATGTTGTGGTTCTACAATGGACCTAATCAAAACAAATAGAACGACAACATTTGTGGGTATGCGTACAATAGAATAGGGCATAGTAAGTCATAGACTTGGCACTATGGATAGGAGCACGATAGTTACGGCGGAGACTAGAGCTAGTTGGTTAACAGTAGACGTAAAATGAGATGCATTCACCCTATTTCGTTTAAGGTGATGAAGGACTGGTAGTAGAATTTTTCCACATTGGTATAAGTAGAGCTGACGTTTCCACTGAATTTCGCATAGCCTTGCTTTCCGAAAAGTTGTTCTCATCCAGGCTGAAGTGGACTACAGTTTCGACCTCACATAGGTCTTATCAACACCCCCAGCGGGAGTCGAAACGTGACAGTGCAGCATGTGAGCTTGACACGTTAACCACTTGGCCACAGGGCAGAAGTCAATTTCAAAGAAGGCCAGGCCAGACCCATATCACATCCTTGAAATTGATATCCGCCCTGTGACCCAAGGACACTCGTGGCAATGTGGCCTAGTGGTTAACGTGCAAAGCTCACATGCTGCACTGTCACGGTTCGACTCCGGCTGAGGGTGTTGTCAAGACCTATGCGAGGTCGAAACTGCAGTCCAACCTGGATGAGAACAATTTTCGGAAAGCAAGCCTATGTGAAATTTAATGGAAACGTCAGCTCTACTCATATCAATGTGGGAAAATTCGCTACCAGTCCGTCATCACCATAAACGAAATTGGGTGAATATATCTCATATTATTGATTTACTGGTAGTCTCGAAACTCTACTTACATACCAAACATAACAGTAGACGTGTTTGATCACAGACCATGATAATTACTCGGGCTCCTTAGCCTCAAGTTAGTCTACCAACCAGCTTGAGAATCCTCATTTTTGGGAGCCTACTCAGTGAGGCAAGACTATGTGTGCCATTAGAGACTTGAGACAGTGTAGGAAATAACGTTTCGAGTAGTATGGAGAGGGTGGCAGGGGTCGAGTGAAACACCTGAACCAAGAAGGTAGGAGACGGATCATACGGAGCAAGAAGAAGACTCTTATAAGACCTATGGGAAAAGGATTGCGAAATAATATGGCAGACTCTGATCAACATTCCTAGCACAAGGGTGGAGAGGGGTGAGAAAGCTAGCGCTGGGTGTAGAGAGTTCTCATGAAATTCGCTCAAAAGGGCACACCATACTACATTTAAATAAGCAATAAAGAAATTGTGATAGTGAAGGAATGATACGAGGATATAGGATTGGTGAATATCCCAGGGCAGAAGGAGATATATCCACAAGTGTTTAGCCGACATTTGGTTAAAGGATCGGCTTCAGTTATCTCTTTGACGAGTTGTATTGTGGTGCTAAGACTGGCAATGCTCACTGACACTGCCGGCGAAGCGTCTGGGAAGGTATTACATCCAAAGTCCGACTCTGGAAAGTATGCTGCATACTATGGACTCCGGACTAGGTGTGTTCCTCTAGGTCTTCCTACCAATATAACCAAGTTACGAAAACAAGGTCAAACCCAGAGGAGGTCGAAACTGCACTCGTGACATTGATGCGTAGTGGTTAACGTGTTGGATTCATACATCTCATGAAAACTTACGAATGCCTTTTATTCGCCTCTTCCAACGAAATTAAATGTATTCCAATATCAATCTTTCAGAGAATTATTTGAAAACAAGTTTTCTACACAAGCTATTAATTAGTTTTGCCTCCGAAATATAAGGAGACTATATTTTTATTCTCTCCTGGAACTTATCACCATTGACTTATAATCCATTGTGCTTTGACTTAGGTGAAGTAGAATCCGCTGTACAACCTGGACGAGAAACCAATTATGAGATAGATTACAGCGAAATTCGACTGTTTATAAAGTCATTTCATCGTCGGTTGACGCATTATGTGCCTAATTTAATGGCGAACGTATTAGTTATGATAACTTATAGACCTAAGACCAGGCTAACTTCATGAATAGCATTTAAAACTGTAAAATAATATGCATAAACATAATCTATGTAACAAAATCTTAGGAAAGATGGTTAGTTGCAACCATTTTGAACCAATAGAAAATCTTACTTTTCTTTTTAACTCCCCCAACGCATTTTCACCTGATCGGTAGGCAATAGCCGAAGTGGAAGATGTCACTGATGCTGCCGCAGAAGTTTTTGCTAAGTATGTGGCGGTCGAAGCTGAAGAATCGGCCAAGTTACAACTAGTTTTTTCACAGAAGCCAGTGTCTCGTCTGGATTCAATGTGGTAGTCGTTAGCGGTTCGACTCTTTAAGGCACAAGTCATGTTTTCCATTTTATGTCCGTCTGAGAGAAAATCAACTGAACCCTTAGGCCCACTCAACTCTCCAGACAGCTGCGAAGTCTCGGCGCTTGTCGAGGCCGCCTCATCTTCCATGTAGCATTCCTTTAACAGATCCTCATCATTTCCATATTCACTTGATTTCTGGGCTTTACAGGGTAAGCGCTCGAGAAAAATGTAGGACGTGGAGTAGATGGAAGAGTCACCAGTTTGGCTGCCCTCCTCTTGCCTGCCATTGCGAAATAAGGGAGAGTGACATGGTGACGTTGGTTCTGACCTATTTGGCTTCAGCCTGCTTTGAGAATGGGAACGAGAAGGTATTTTACCTCGAGGCTGAGATTTCAAGAGTCCTTGAACTTCAGAGATTTGGCATTCAGAGCCGCCTGCAAACATCTGACAGCCTTTTATATCGTTTTGTGGCTTTGAATTGACTCGAACTATTAGATTCTCTCCGGGGCTGGTTTCAGAGCATGGCGAAAGGCAACACAGACCAAGACCTATGTTAGAAGATGTGGGAATGGCAGCATTTGTGCAGTGCAAGGGAGGTGGGGAATGAGATCCGCGGGCATTGGCTTCAAGACAATCACCTGGTTTTGGTAAACATATATTATTGTTGTGGCTTTTTTTAAGGAAATTCAACCCGAGAGAAGGACTGGGTTCAGATCGATGGATCAGTCGAGACTCAGACCAAGGAATCTTGGAAACTGAAGCATGATCTCTACCTGGAGATTTTTTCAGGAGAGAATTGTGCGAATTGATTTGAATCTGGTGAAGTGAAACAAGATGGTTTGCAAAATAAGAAACTATGATGCATGAATTTGAAGACGAGTAGGAAAGAAAAGTGGTATAAGCAAAAATCTGCCTAAGTATAATATATGTTTACATGGAAAAAAGGAATTGTCTATTATCTTGTGTTTTATGAGCCGAATTCCATTTCCGCAACTTGATCGGAGCGAATTTGTGGAAAGTCCTGAATCCTCTGTTATAGTATTTGAGATCGTTTCCAGCATTAGACCGTTGACTTGGAACAGTTCAATTTGGAGTGTATATCCAATTCCACACTAGCTGAAATTAGCTTAAGAATGAGATTCATTTTAACCCAATTTCTCTTAAAAAGGTAGACACTTAAGTTATCTGGGATGGATCTTCAAGATAAGAGTGCATGTTTTTTGTCTAACCAACACGATAGAGTATTAGTTTTAGTATTGCTAAGTGCTGTTCTACGAAGAGGGGTGAAGAAATTATAGGCTCATTATTTAAAGGCTGTTGATGGCATAGTAGGTGTAATTTTGCCTAATTATTCGGATTTGGCAAATGTTTTGAAAATTTTTAGGAATGGCCATTCTCGGCAGTACTTAATATTAGTAATAGTTAATATTCGTATATAGTGGTGTTGCATGGAAAATATTGGAGAATGCTTATCAAATTAAATTTTCCTCATTAAATTAATTTGAGTCAGATTTTTAAAATATAAGATTCTTCCTATGAATGAAGAAAGGAAATATTACAAGCTGTATTATTGGTGCATTCACAGCCAAATAGTAGGGAATGATGCACCCACAGCGCGTTAAACGATGCTATGCAGTTCTCATTAAGGACAAAGTCGTATTGAGGATAGATTTCAGATATCTTAAAAGAGGGATAACAGAATTAAATGTAGTTTTTCGTATGAGTTGTAATATGGTGCTACGAATGGCGAGACTCACTGACGATGCCGACTACGATGCCGGCGAAACGT